GTRWATATCTGAAGCTTCCTCTGACCGGGATGCTCCAGTGAAGCTTTTTTTTTGAACGAAACTACGAGCTGGAAAAAAGTATCGACCGAGTAGCTAACTTTAGGATCGATACTCTCCGCGACCCAGGCTGTGCATCGTTATTATCATACTATCTACGTGGAAAATTAAAAGTAAAAAGATGAAGCAACTGGACTTGTGTTTTGGAGCTGTAAACACACGGAGCTACAGATTTAAACAGTGAGACTTGAGGTTAGTGTTTTATCGATCCTTCAGCCCCTCCTCCTGATGAAAAAGTCAGATGAATGTGACATGAGCGTTCACACTGCAGTCACTTTGAAAACATCAGATATGTATCCGATTTAAAACTGTTGAGTTCAGTAACGAGCTTCAACCGACAGATCAGACCTTGCAAACTGAACTGACGCAGTTAGAAAACCATAACCTTTTATACCAAGTTATGTTTGCCAGAAATTCAACACCTCCCATACACACTCACAAAGTGTTTTTGTGGACCACTGATGATGTAATCTTTTCCAGAATATTCTACCAGACGTGACCCCTTGTTCTGACCTTTTGTTCTAACTGAAGTTACAGCTAAAAGCCTCAACTAAACCACATACTGAAACGGCCTGGGTCGGATTTGAAAAAATCGGATTTGTTGCGTTCAGACTGTCATAAAAAAATCGGATATGAGTCAGATGGGTCAAAAAAATCGGATTTGGGTCGGATTTGCCTGCAGTGTGAACGTGGCCTAAGTTTTGCTTAGTTAACTATTCAATAGCTGTGTGTATTGTGGTGTTAATTGTTTTGATGAAATGTTTTCCTGAAGAAGATGTGTGTTTTATTCCATGATTTAATCCTTAGAAACTTAGGACTTGAATCTTTAATAATTAAGTGTGACACTCTTATTTTACTGAGGCAAGCAGATGTCTCTCCCTTTAATTAGATGCAAGATAATTAAACTAAAACACTCCCYTTTTCTTTGTCCTGAAGTAAAGTTTTCCCTCCAAAACAGATTTGATTTGTTAAAAAACTTTTCCTGTATAAGGTGTAACATTTTTATTGGCGAACTAAAACCTTGACTCCGCCCATAAGAGGTTTTAAAAAGCTTAGCGCACTCTCAATCTCTTAGAAGACAAAGTAGAAGACAAGGACAGAAGAAGAAGACAGAGAAAGAGAGTTTTTCAACATCAGAAGCCAGAAACAGTTTTCCAGAAGCTCAGCAGAGGCCCTGCCTGCCAGCCCCTCCCCATGGGCTGGGCAGGATGGTGGCCCTTCTGCATCTCCTGCTGGTTGAATGAACAGCTACCGTTTACTATCGATTCAACATCTGAGTTTGATCTTATATAAGTTGAATAAGCTAATTGTAATTCATGCGTCGTTTTTAGTTCGTTGTTCTGTACAAAGTTGAAATCAAATTAAGAAGTCTTGCAGCCGCCTGGGAGGACCAGACCCCGTTGTCACCAGCTCACCACCCACCTTTCTGACTGAAGGGCCAGCAGCTGAACAGACACCCTGAGTGTCCGACCGGACACTACACTGAAGCAGTTCTTAGGGGAACATCACCTGAGATCCTTCGGTCAGCCGACGACTACTTCTGGTACCGCAATCAGCAGAACAAAAGGGTAAAAGGGAATTTTTGTCCTGGTGACAAACAGGTGCTCAGACATAATTTGATTCTTATCTTTGTATGAGATTTGATAAACTAAACGATTTTTCTCCCTAATTTAACTAGGACCCCCTTGGTTAAAAACCAGCTAAAAGCAAAACTCACCTCACCTCATTCCAAGCCTCAAACTCATCTCTCAGTGTTTATTTTATTTATTTATTTGTTTGTTTGTTTATTCACTTGTGAGTGCAAACTCTGTCAGTTTTACCTGGTTCAACATGTCATCACTCATTACTCACCATAGCTGTAAATACATTTAATCTGTAAATAAATGGCCCGTGGAGAACATGCCAACGTAAGTTAATGTCACTTTTGTGTCTTGATAAAGTATTATTGGTTCTGATAAGGACAAGGACTCATCAAACAATTTTGGGTACATTTATTGTGAGACTGATTACAAAAAAGTTACAGGTTTTCGTCTCTTTCCTGGGTTAATTTTTGATCAAATTAAGAGCGTGGTGCCTCGAGGTAAGATAATTTGCATATTTAAATAATTCACAAATTATCCATTTTAGAATATACCCAAAACCCCTACAAAAGGTTAGGTTCAATGTGAAAATTTGGTGCTGGAAGTCTAATTTTGCTCCTTCAATAAATAAAAATCTAAAAAAATAAAATCATCTTAACTTCACAGTTGCATTACGATCTTAGTTACTCAGCAGTTAGCTCTCCTTCTGATACATGTCGCTTCTTTCTATTGGCTTTAAGCCAGAAACATTCTAGAAACATCACATAAGAGCTAAATGCTGCGATTTGCAGCATCCGTAGATGACTTACAACACAACAGATATAACTGAAGGGAAAAAAGTAAGCAGGAAATGTAGGAAATATTTACTTTATCAAAACATAAAATCTGCTGACTGCGGCATGTTGACGGCTGCTTAGCTCTATTTGAAATAAGAGTCTCAGCTGCTTCAGTTAAAAAGCTCCAAAAAGGATATCAAAGGCAGCCGTCACAGTCATGTGTGGCATCTGGGAGCATATGTTGTGAGTTACATGAATGTTGTGGGTTTGTAGGAAGGCAGAAGACCCGCTCAAGACCAGCGGCTGACTGTCTGTGACTGCTTTCATTTCTCAAACACGTCAACCTCCGGCAAACAAGGACATAAAAAGCGATCACGGATGTCGTGTTCTACACTTGCAATCACAAAACTTTTTCCGTTTTGGCAGTTTTACAAAGCAACAAAAGTTATTCATGTGAAGCTGCAGCAGTTCTGGTGATTTGTTGGCTGACACTGCAGCAAACTTTCAGTGTTACAGTATCAGCAGCTTACCTGTTTATATACTGTTTATAACCACATACACGACTATAATGAAGCCTTGTCGTGGGAATGTGGGGTTTCATGACTCTGCAAGGATTACTGGGTCAAGCTGGTCTCATGAAACACATGAACACACACAAACACACGAGGGGACAGTGGTTTGTATGCATGCATAAAGCTCCCAGATGTTTGAAATGTGAGTCATTTTATGAGCAACACAGGGAGCCCAGCGAGGTGTGCATGTGGTGTTTGAGTCTGTGTGCATGTGCAAAAGTTCAACTTCAAAGAGCTCCGTTTAATATTGCATTTCAACAGTTGTGTGTTTGTATGCATGTGGGAATGTCCAAAAAGCTCTTAAATGCACTAAATTATCTTCGGTTAGCCTCAAATCCAGGTTGTAGACTTGAACTGTGTGTTGCGTAAACCAAAACACCAGTCAGCCCAGACTGAAATCTAGAAATAAAAAAATATGAACAATTTTACTCAAAACTAATTTAAGCCTATTTCTGATTTTTAACATTACAAATTTAACTTTTTTTTTTTTTGCTGTAATGAAATCACTTAGAGTGAACCTTTCAGACGTGTGTGAGTAAAGCTGGACTTTTTTGATACAAGTCCAAGCAGAGCCTCAAATCCTGCAGAGCTCCAAAGAACACCTCTGTACTGCTCTGTAACTCATTATTTGAGAAAAGTACAGATCGAGTCGCAAGTCAGCGACACCGAATCTCGTCCTCTGAAACAAATCCAGTATAACAATGGTCTGATGTTCTTTAGAATGAGTTCCGGGCTCTTAAAGGAAAGTCCTTGTTAAGTGTGTCATCAGAGACCAGTTTATATAAAACCTGAAGGGTTCAGTGTAGACTGGGGGTTTTACATTACAGGACCACTTCCAGTAAGTAAATTTATAGTGACCAGCGAGCTTTAGTACTTAAACAAAAGTATACTGGACTTCCCTTCCTGGATTTATTCAAGCCATTAGGATTACTTAAACTTGGATGGCTGAACTCATTTGTAACCATTCTCTCAACCATTGAGCCCTAATGCAGCATTTTGTGTTCATGCAAAATGAAATGTAGTATTTCACTGTGACTGCTGGTGTGTAGGCATTCACAAGGGAGACTCCAAAACCTTTCAGTGTGGAGTGCAAGGTTCTTGACTTATTTCACAGAGGCCCACAGGGATTTGAAAAAAAAGTGCAAAATTTGTCTTTTTTTTTTCTTTTCTCAAAATTGGTAGACTTGTCATGGGCATGTTGACCTTATCTTGAACCATTGTCAAATTAGTTTTGGTAAAATCTGTAGCTGTATTTTTGACCCCTGCACAGAAGCTCTCCTACAGAATACATTCAAGAGCTTTGAATGTCCATGTCTAAAAACCATTAAAACATAAATAATAATCACTCAAAAACTGGTCCAAATTTGTCTATTTTCATTTAAAAATGTTCTCTAGCAGATTAAATCATTAACGTGGAAGTGTCTGGCAAGGTGGGCACAAAGGTGAGCATTGTGCATGGCCTAGACTAGTGTTTTACAAGCTGTGTATGTTAAAAAAAAGCCCAGGTTTTCAAAAACTGGCCACACAACTCAGGGGTCACTTAGTCACAAACACTCAGAATTCACTGAAACTGCAACTGAAAATCTGTYTATTTTCTTGCAATTTAGAGTCACWAATTAGTTTTCAGCAGTCCAATCCCAGGGAAATCGCAAGACYAGAAACACTAAAAAATATGTGATGAACCCAAATGGTTAAAAAGTGTTATCAAAGCAGAGAGGAAGCATTTATGGAGAAAAATAYTGGTTACATACAATTCTGAATGCAAAATAATTAAACTGGAGAAAACACTGTCCTAAGAAAATTAATAACAGATTGCATAATGGAGAGGATAGTCCAAAACTTAGACAGCTTTTAGTATCAGAGTGWGTAAAATAATGCTTCCCTCATCAAAGAACCGGTCTGTTGTCATGAAGACGCTGATGGAAGAGGTGTGGCTTTATGACCAACACATATCAACATCCATATCCACTGTGGTGTTTTTTGTGCCAGTGTGTGTGTGTGTGTGTGTGTGTGTGTGTGTGTGTGTGTGTGTGTGTGTGTGTTGGATGTGAATGTATGCCAAACCCACCTTCCTTACAGTCATGTTTGTTCTCATGCAGCACAAAGCCATGGCGACACTGACAAACGTAAGAGCCCACCGTGTTGATACACTCGTGCTGGCAGCCGCCGTTGTCCTTGCTGCACTCATCTTTGTCTGTGAGAGACACACATGCAACACGTCACTCATGTGGAAACATTCGAGTTGACGGGGAGAGGAAATAAAACAGAGACAGCAAAAAAAAAGAGTTTCCAATGGGGAAGGGTATGTGATGAGGTGAAAACCAAAGCAGGCAGGTCGGTGATGTAAGGGAAAGTGACAGAAGTGGTTAAAACATTAACATGCTCAGACAGAACGCTTTTCAGCTTTCAGGCTGAACTTTATCATCAAGGCTGAGAGATAAAGCTCAAAAAGATAGTCCAAAAAACGAGCCATCCCTGCTTTCAGCATRGTCTGCATCTAAAACTTTAACGTAGTGTCTAAAAATGAATAAGAATAAAAGATCAAGAACRTTTTCTACATGTTATTAAAAACTTAAATATATAAAACTGAGGAATTCAGCGAATGAAGTGAAAGATTTATTGGTCAAAGTCAAAGCTGCAAGCACTGAAATAACAGCTGGTTTCAGATCATCTCAAACTACAGATGCTCTAAAAWTCTGACATGTTTACCCAGGAAGCCCAAGAAGAAAAACTATTTAGAAGTTGCAAAACCTGTAACATGTCTAATTCACTCTCCTGTGTGAAATAAAATAAAAGAGAAAAACATCTTCATTATCTTTACATCCACACAGGCATGGTGATATACTTGGAACRTTTAACTTCTGTTGGAGTTCAAATTACTTCCTTATACCTGTTTTTTTTAACAGGGATAAAGTCATAACTACATTTACATAACTAAATAGCTTATTTCTCTGCAAATTTCTCTAAAACATTTGAAAAATAGCTATGGTAAAATAAGTGAATGTTTAATCAGCCTGTAAAGAATGAGTTCTTCTTTTTAGCAGAACTATTTTATGATTTTAGCCAAGAAAAGCAAGAAATAGATTCATGATTTTTTTAAGAGTTTCAGTTTATGATAAACTAAGCTTACTGGGTCTCACTTTAAATTCTGATACAACCAGCGCAAGTGAAAAATTAAAGACACACATAAACAATATGTAGCGTTGGTGAGACAACTCCATGAAGAATAACTTTAAAATCAAATGAAAGATGCTGCAAAGACAGGTTCAACAAAGCAAMCACTAAGAGTCAGAAAAAAAAGCAAAAAACTAAGGAACCAAAAAAAAAAATCCTGGATTAATTAAACAAACGAGATATAACGGAACAAAAAACAGGTGTAAAAATTACAAAACAAGACCAGGTGTGACCAAAGAGCAGAGAAATAAAACTGACAAAGATCAGTTTCTACAAAATAAAGTTGACAAAGCAGAACAACAAGAAAACCAASAAGACCTGAAATCAAGTGTGGAAAACCAGCCAGTCAAGTGTGTTGTATTACCTATAATAGAACTAACATATTCAATATATCTTTAATTTTTTAACYGGCTCTGCAGTAAAGGATTATACTGAAAGACCCAACCCAAGAGAGTTTGTCCCTTCTCAGTTATTTTCTCATCTTCATTCCCTACTTTATGGATTCTTCTAAGCACCCAGCTTTGCCTCTGGACCCGCTGGCTGTCAGCGAAGTCATTAAGCAAAGCTGGAATCTSCAGCATCAGAAACAGTCTGGAAAGACTCCCTTTAACTGAGGCTGCCACGTTGACAGACAGGGAGAGGAGAGGATGGACCCGTGACCACACAGAGAAACAGACGATGGTCCGGTGGGGAGTGTGGGACGCACAGCCGAGTGTTTCTGATTTGCCCGGTGCTTTGGAGCAAGAAACCGACTCCAATAAAGAGGTGTGAGATTAGACACAGACGCTGACTCTCACTTCAACTCAACCAGATCTGATTTTAATGAAACCACTAAATCCTCTCCCTTTATCAGTGTGTGTGTGTGTGTGTGTGTGTGTGTGTCAGAGTCTGATGTGGTATTACTTGGCTATTGTGGGCTCAGTCTCACCCTATCACTGGCTAAGAAGCTTTTCGGTTGGTGCTACACAGTGTTCATTGTAGCTGGATTCAGGTCAAGCTCAAAACGTCCACATGCACTCAGAGGCGCACGCATGAACTCCCATGGATTAGTAGTATGTGGGAGGCTGCAGGGACCTCCCTCAAGCTGCTGGMTTAATGCCAATCAAAAGTTATCCCCGGAAAGTTCAAACAAGGCTAAACTACAACTCTGAGCACGCACAAGTTAGCGCTCATTATCTGCATATGATGGAATTGTCAGGGGAAACATGTTGGGAATTCAAAGTGCTCTGCAGGTAAACACATTTGGACAACTTTGTCTAAAACACAATTTAGACCTCGTACTCCATCCTTAGCTATCAGAATTTGGAAACCATTTCCACTCAAACCATGTACTGATGCATCTGGACTATGGGGTGCCATTTGTAAAGTCACACAGTCAAAAATTACCACCAGTATTTTTGTTTTATTTAGCCTTTTATAAGAAAAAAATAACATATTTATTTTTCAAAGTCAGTTTTT